CTCGCTCTCTCTCTCTCTCTCTCTTTCCCCCCCTCCATTTCTCAGGAGGAGCAGAACAGAGGGAAGCCAAACTGGGAGCACCTAAATGAAGACCTGCATGTGCTGATCACAGTGGAGGACACACAGACACGTGCTGAGGTCAAGATGAGAAGAGCTGTCGAAGAGGTCAAGAAGCTACTGGTGCCTGCAGTAAGTTGCAAACATGCGTTTAAACATACCGAACGTACTTGTGCTAGTGGAAAGTGATTTGTTACAAATGTTTTGACCCCTGAGATCTTCTCTGAAGACCTGCCCGAGGCTTGTGCTTTGTAACGCAACAGTGTTGGATTTAGCAAAATCCTTTATGCTGCTTCCTGTTCTAGGTGTGACATCTTTGTGCATATGGGCCGGATTTTAATCCCACCCCTGACCCCTGGCTTCACCTGCTTCCCACATATTTCCGCTCCATTCAACCTTTCTATTCTCTGCTCCTCCGTCGATTGCCGCAGGGGATGGGGGCGCTTAAGTCGGGGTCTCTGGCTTCAGGCTGTTTTGCCTGCAGTGAACAGAATGGCTGGACAGCTGCAAGAGCCTGTTCCCTATCAGGCGACATGGTGGAAAGGCTTCGACCCGCTGAAACCTGGCCAGAAGCAGCCGTTCAGCCCAGCCATGTGCCTCTCGCTTCATTTCAGAGCGGGACACTGAGTCCTTGGCATTCTCCGACTGCTCTCAGGCGCTCGCTTTCTCCTGTTTCTTTGTGCAGGGTTTTTTCCATCTCTCTCTAGGCCAGAACCCCCACATTTCGCCTCTTGTTTGGGGATTTTTTCTGTGTATCTCTTTTGTTCTGTTTGAGAGAGGAGGCCTTAAACCCTCCACACACATACACAAGTACACACACACACACACACACACACACACGCTAGTCAAAGAAAACAAACATACACAGCCGACTGAGTGTGTGTGAGTCATTCTGAACAGAGTGTGTGGGTGGGAGATGAGTAAATGGCTACATGCTCTCTCCAAATTTTCGCTCCGACCTTATGCACCCCTGAGATCAAAGTCACCCTCACCGTGTTTATCCTCCTTTGCCATAAACACACACACAAACCATGCTCAGGCTCTCAGGAGGCCTGTGTTTGCTCTACTCATTTGTTTCGTTAATAGTTACACAACACTTTTGGTCTTTTATACAAAACTGAAATCTTTCCCACGTCTTGACAAGTTTGAATCAGTTCGCATAAATATTAGAGTGATTTTGAGGTGACACTTCCTGCTGCAAGTTTTTGACGCTTTTACTGACTTGCTGCAGTAACGTGCATGTGATCATGGCACAGGGGTGAGTAAATGATGACAATTTTTATTTTTGGCTGATCGATCCATCCAAGTTTTGCTGTACAGATAAAGCTCCTCTTAAACATGGTTTTCCAGCTGGTTCTGTGTGTGGCAGATTGACTGTAATGCCCTTTATCATGCCAAGCTAAACTGGATTAAATGACAAACCGTCCATCTCTTTAATGAAGGATATCTTGGGCTCATTTAGAGGCATGAAATTGTCTTATTAAATACATCATAAAACACGAGGTCACAGTCTGTTTCCCCTCTACTCTCTTCATTTTGTCATTGTGGAAAGGATTTGATTGGTTAGGGCATAGAAAAGGGGGGGGGGCAGTAGAGCTCTCCGAAAGAGGCTCTCTGTTTTATAAACATCTGCGATATTGATTTTTACCTACCTTGAGAGGCAGCTAGCACATTACCGCAAGAATCTGTAATCCTGGCTCGGGCCCTGAAGAGTTGCCACAGCCGAACGGTTCCCGCTTGCAGAGACCAAATTGAAATTTTCAGCCTTGCTCAAGGAATCAGTTCCACACACAGCATTTGAATGATCATCAGACTCAGGGAGAGTGCATGAACGGCGGGTACACGCACACACACTGCCTCAGAGGCCAGGGTTAGAAGGGGGTGATTGAGAGATTCAGCTCAAAGGCCCTGTGAACTTTTCAACTCCCATCGAGACACAAGGGAGAGACACCGAGAGAGAGATTTGAGTTGAAGGTGGGCTGGTAATGAAGGTAGTAGCGAGTGAGAGGATTAAGGCAGGAACGTAATGGAAGGAAAAAGATAAGAATCGAGCCTCACTTTTGCATGCGGATTGCTTCCCACAGTTCTTCCACTCCAGTCTCATTCGTCTTTTCACGTACCCTTGGCATCACACACATCATTTCTGCTATCATGCGGATTTTTAAATTTATTAATATCTGATAATTTAGTGCTTATTTTATTTTGGTTATTTTATTTTGTTATTTAAGTGTTTTGTAATATTATCTGTCATTTATTGGTTATTGGTCAGAAATTTTATATCAGTGCATCCTTAATTACAATATGAATATTATGTGTGTAAATTGATTTCTGTTATTCACTGCATATTTAAATAATTATGATTGTTACATCAAAACAGCTTGTGATGGAATAAAGATTATCTTTGGGTTTTTTAAATATACTTGCACATCTAGGTGTAAAACTGTCCCAGCATGAGCACTAGCATCATTTTTGTGGAAAAGGGATACCAGATACTGGTCAAACAGTTTCTTTCTCATACCCCTGTCCTCTGTGTACCACTTCGCAGGAGGGACACCCTGACTTTGTTCATTAAAGTGCTGACACACAAGTGCTGACGTATTAACTGTGACCTATAAAACACACAGAGCCACACATATCTACAAATCCATATCTTTTTGAATTTGACTTGGCATAAAATTCAGGTTTAGAGCTTCACACCATGGCCCACTGTCAAATTCAGTTTTATCTGGTTTTATACATTTACAGCTCAGCAAAAGATCAGTAACTTTAGAAGTCAAGCGTTTCACTCAGTTGGAGCAGAAGTCATAGGAGGGCTGATGAATCTTTCTGAAATGACAGTTAAAATTGATTGTTTCAAGAAGTGTGGAACAAATCGCTCTCTGTAAGCTGTGACGCTAGTACCCTACTGCTAAACAGACATAGAGGAAGGTGGAGACAAATGCAGGTGTAGATTATGGAAGCTGATAAAACACTAATTGTAGCTTGTAAGGTAAAACCCTCTCGGATCAGTTATGTCTTTAAAATCACATTTTGTGTGTATGTGTGTTTTTATAGTATCTTGCTCCATGAGCACTGAGTTTAATATTGTCAAGTTTAAAATGGTTCCATTCCGTTGTGCTCTGTCCAGCTATTTCTGAACACAAGACGTCTTATGTGAACCCCCTAACAAACATGTCTGTTCTAATTATTCAGTTTCCTTAAGATCATTTACAGTATATTTTAATATAGAACGCACATCCCTGTTATGGCTATGTATTAAATGTGTCTTAAGTCTGCGTTATGAAGTGCTAAAAAAAATTTACTTACTGTTAGAACATGCAGATTGTTTTTGCTAAATCCATCAGTGATTGAGAATGGTATTGATTAAAAACAAATAAGTGATCTTATTGCTGAAATTGCATTTGCTAATTTCCATTTTAGTGTGTGCTGATTGTATGAGTAGATCAAGCCATGTGTGTACTTTTTAATGCATTTGTAACCAACAAGATTAGGCATCGTCACCCATTCCATATATTCCAATTTGTCCTGTAATCATTTGTCTCTGAATTGCAGATTAAATTTGCTTACTTTCCCAGTTTCTCCACAATGTGGCCCGGTTTTTGAAGACCGAGAAAGCTGCACGGATTATAGCAACTGTGCTTACGAGGCAGCTCTAATCTCCAGCAGATTCAGTGACAAGCTCCGACGCTGCGAACAGATGCGTTGTAGTCTGTGGACACGTCTACATATCAGATCCCTGTTAATTCAATTTACTGGTTTATGCACCAGCCCATTTAGAGATGATCAGAGAGAATAAAACAGTACGATCCCTTCCTACGAAGTAATTAGCCTCTCAAATGTGTTAAAAACCTGACAAATTGGTTTTCTCATTAGGGGTGCTAAACCCAGGAGAGCTGACGCCCGTGATGGGTGTTGTGGATTTAGATGTTAGGAAGATGCTGTGTGTCAAAACTGCCGAGAGAGATGCTGTGCTACAAGGTGACATTCCTCATTTCCCCTCAAGGTGTGTGTTTGAGAGCGAGAGAGAGAATCCGTCTAATAGACAGCAGAAAGTCATTTCTAATGATTGACAATAGCTGTGTTGGAATGTGAGGTCAGTGTTAATCCTGCAGTCACAACATTCTCAGAGACCCAGTGAAAGGCCTTCTGGGAAAATGTTAGATATTCACCCTAAATACCCCCTTGCTGCGAATGGTACGATATTTCCACAGTACCGTACTTCAGCATGTCTGATCCCGGTTGGCATCAGTGCACTAAGGAATGATGGGAAATAGAAGCTCACACCTATGACATCTCATTAAGAATCTAGGCCACTATGTGTCCATTCCCTTTATCTCAGCTAATTAAAGTGGCGTGTCAAAATATTTTTCTGGGTTATTTTAGTGTCAGCGCACTGGGTCGGCCGTCGACAGAAGCTAGCAAAGGTTTGAAATGAACGGTGGATGAAGACCTTTTTTAAATTCAATATGGTACTGCTGATAGTTTCTTTTGTGGATGCCCCTGGCTATAAGGAACATGTAGCATTTCAGTCTCTCTTTGTGTTAGGTTTTTGTCAGGGAAGCACTTCCTACTAGATTGTGGCATATCTGTAGTAACAGTTTTGCCTCCAGAGCTCAGTGACTTTGGAGCTTTACGTGGGTGCGTATAGTAGCTGTAGCCCAGCAGTCTGGCCCTTTCCTTTATTCCTTCCTTTCTTATTGCTTTCCATTTTCCAGCATTTCGTTTCAACTCTGCTTGTGCTTGTAGGCAGAAATCGACTAGAGAACCAACTTGCTGCTCCCCGTGTCCTCCATGATGCTTCCAATATCTTAAAAGACCACAAAAGAAGGGAGTAGGGAGGTGAAAGAGAAGAAGAGAAATGGAGAGCTTCGCTCACACAATGCTTCCAGCATCTCTCCATGAATGGGCTTCGTCCTTGCCTGTAACAAAGTGACTGGGTTAGCAGTGTTTGCACTGTAGCCTGAAGCCCTGTTCCCTTCTCTTGTCTCTTCCTTTCTCAGACACATACACACCCACTCTTTCACACGGTCTTTCTTGGCACATCTTTTATCCCGTGTACTCCAGTAACCATCACATTCAGCGCCTCTGCCGAGCACAATGAGTCCCCAATCTGGAGAGGTTTCAAGCCTCTC